TTTAATCCAAAGCCAAGTGTCCCCAGACTGGCTGTCCCAGTGGAACCAGTGGAAGTGGCACCCACTGTGAAGAGAAGACACCATTAACAGGTTGCATAAGCCGTGGAATGCAGGGCCCCTTGGGAAAGCTGTGCCCAGCCTGCTGGCCCTCTGCCTGCAGCAGCAGCAGCCCCAGGGAGCAGCAGCCACGCTGCTCCTCTACTGCCCCAGGGACAAACCTGCCTGGAGAGACTCACGTGAGAGGCCCGAGGTGCTGGAGGAGGCTGGGGCTGAGGAAGTTGCCACAGATGCAAACAAGGAGGGCCCCGTGGAGCCCAGCACTGAGGTGGTGCTGGTGGTGGAGGCCGTGCTGGCAGCTGTGGATGTGACTGCAGGGACAAACAGCTCCATGTGAACAAGCAGAGCACACTGAGCTCCCAGCCCCTGCACAACAACCCTGCAGGGAGGGGGACACAAACTGCCCAGCCACACCAGCTCCTGGCCATGGCAGCATTTTCACCTCCTTTTCCTCTTACTCTCCCTCCCTGCCTGTCTTTCACAATGTACCCCTTGAAGATTGTGCCTCCCTCCCACTGTGCTCCCAAACAAGCACAGAACAGAATCTGGCATGTGGGACACAATCAGAACCACAGGACACGCTGTCCAAAGGCTCCAGGAGCTGACACAGATCACCACTGCCAGGGCAAACCCACAGAAACACATGCTTGGGGCCCCTTTCCACACTCAGTATATTTGTCTGATTCCAACAGACAACTATTACCAGGAGGACAGCAGACTCCCCAAAGCCTCAAGGAATCGTTGTCTAGAACAGCTTCCTACCTCCAAGCTTGGTTCCAAAGGACAGGATGGGTGCCTGGCTGGTGCTTGTGGTCGTTGTTGCTGTGGTTGTACTGGTGGCTGCTGTTGAAGGCAGTGCAAAGGTCAGACCTGGAACCAGGTGCAGAAGGAAAAGATGCACTTTCTTCCTGCAGGCCAAAGAGCACTTGCTGCCCAGCACTGCAGACCCTGGACAGGCCTGTCACAAACACCTCTGGCTCCAGCCCCTCTCACTCCACTGTGCCTCAGCACAAGCCAGAGGCTGCAGAGCCTTGCCCCAGTTGTACCTGCAGACATGCCCATGCCACAGGCTGCCAGCCTCCAGCTGCCCCCAAGGCTGTGTCACAGTCCGTGTGACAGCCCAGACAGCCACGATACAGAGTGCCACCAGGCAATTCCAGAAGGCTTCAACCCACACACAGCAGCACCAGAACACCTCAGAAGGCTGCAAGTGTCAGCCCCTCTTGTTCTTCAGCCCAGCTTCCATACCCTCCTGTTCATGCACTGCCCTGTGTGCCCCCTGCTCCCTTTGGGGGTTGCTCAGTGCCCCTGGGCACTCCGTGGCTCAGTGCTGTCAGTGCTGCTCCCCTGCTTTTCACAGCTGGACCCACGGGGGTGAGGCTGGGCCACAGCCCCATCCCAGTGCCCACAAACCGTGTGCCTGTGTCCCAGCTGCACACAGCACAGCCTCCAGCAGCTCACCCACCTGTGGGCTGCCCCCCGAGGCTGAAGGGCGCTGCTGCCGGGCTGGCAGCTGCCAGGGTGGCCGTGCTGGTGCTGGCAGCAGCCGCAGGGGCCGTGCCAAAGCTCAGCCCTGCGGACGTCGCCTGCGGAGCCGCGGTGCCGATGCTGAACCCGGCCGTCCCCGCCTGAGTCGTGGTGCCACTGGAGAAGGTGAAGCCTCCTGTTGTCCCAGACGGAGCCGTGCTGCTGCTGCTGCTGCCTCCTGAGCCAAAGGCAAAGCCAGACGGGGCTGCTGCCTGACTCGACGGCGTGCTGGTTGCCACAGGGGCAGCAAAAGAGAAGCCCCCCGTGATCCCAGGAGCTGGAGTGGTGGTGCTGGCTCCAAAGTTCACTTTTGGTGTGTTTGCCCTGGGGAAGAAAAGGAAAGAAAGGAAACCACTCTGCTTGAGACACACATCCACTCAAGTTCACGGCCGGCTTTCTCCCTGACCATTTGCTGACAGCAGAAAACTCCTTTCAAAGGGCTGCAAAAACACCTGGGCAGGCTTGTGTCCCAGTTCTGACAACAGACTCCATCCAGCTGCTGTCACCTGCCATACCCCCTTAGGGCTCTTTCTAGTGACCCTGCTTTCATTACCTGCACCCAGCCAGGTACCACAGGACATTTTACGGCAGCACACGTGAAGCTGCTCCATCTCTCTCAGCTCACCTCTTTCCACTCCCTCTACCCAAGGCTGGTTTTTGCTGCTCGTCCCCATTTGAGCTCCCTTCCCACAGCTCCCATCTGGCAAGCTTTGACAGCAGCGGTTCTGCAGAGCCGCTGCAGAACCCGCAGCCTTTCCTGAGCGACAGATCCCTCCCAGCGTGCCGAGAACACGTTCAGAGCACTCCGGATCGGGGCAGAAGGAATACGACGTTTCCTCCTCGGCACAGAGCTCGAGCGTTTCTGTGCCGCGTGTGCAGCCCCGTTCCGGGCGGACAAGCGGAGCTTCTCCTCCCCACGCGTGCGAGGGCCGCCCTGGGCAGCGGGGCCGGGGAGCGCCGGGGCTCGCCGAGCAGCGCCCGGCGGGCGGTCGGTGCCGGGCCCGGGAGCGGCGGGCACCGGGCCGGGCCCGGCTCGCTCGGGGCGGAGCGCCCGCCGAGCCTCGGCCGGCCCGCCGGGACCGCGCTCCCTCCGCCCGGCCCTCCGCCCGTCCCTCCCCGGCCCGGCGCTCACCCCAGCGGGAAGGCGGCGGCCGCCGGGGCCGCGGGGGCCGCGCCGGCCGAGCCGAAGCTGAAGCCCGCGGGCTGCGCGGCCGTGCCCGGCCGGCTGAAGGAGAAGAGCCCGGCGGGCTGGCCGCCGCCCGCCGCCGGCGCGGCGCTGCCGAAGCTGAAGCCGGTGGAGGCGGGCGCGGAGAAGGAGAAGCCGGCGGCGGCCGCGGTGGCGGCGGCGCGGGGCGCGCCCAGGCCGAAGGCGCCGCCGGGCGCGGCCGCCCCGAAGCTGAACTGGCTCATGGCGCGGCGGCGGCGGCGGCGCGGGCCGGGCCCGGAGCGCCGCGATGGCGTCACCGGCCCCGCCCGGGCCCGCCCGCGCCTTCCCGCCCTCCGCGCCCATTGGCCGGCGCGGCCGCCACTCGCGGCACGGCGGCTCCCATTGGCTGCCGGGCAGCGAGGGGCGGGGCGAGCCGGCGTTGCTGTGGGGACGGGGGACGCGGCTGCGGGACCGGGTGCGGGACGGGGACAGCGGGAGGGACAGGGACAGAGGGGGGGACAGGGACAGAGGGGGGGACAGGGACAGAGGGAGGGACAGGGACAGAGGGGGGGACAGGGACAGAGAGAGGGACAGGGGACAGCGGGAGGGAGACGGGACACCGGGCTGGGACAGGGGACACCAAACGGGATTTGGGACACCGAGCGGAATTGGGGACACCGGGCAGGGACAGTGGAGACCGGGCTGGGATTGGGGACACTGGGCTGGGTTAGGGGATACAGGGTGGGACAGTCCATCTCAGCATATGCTTTGATTTTTGCTTCAGTTTACACATTTTGTCCTTACACACTCAGGAACCTGGCGAAACTTTTCCTTCCCAAACACACAGTAGGAAAATTGTGCTTTACAGGCTGTTCCAAGCACATTTGGCTCCCACTTCATGTGTCATTTTTTTTCCCTGCAGGGGTGAGCAGTGGGTACGGATATGGACAGCGTGTTCTCAGGCTCTTCTCTGCAGAGCCTCGCCAAACTGCTGCGTGATGCTGCAGGAGAGGATGATGATGATGATGATGATGATGATGATGTGGTGAGCCTTCCACGAGAGTTGCTGCTTCTTTTACATATTGTACCATAGCCCAATCTTGTTAATCAAGGAGAAGCTAATCTCTTTTTCTCCAGAGAGAGTAAAAACAGAATGAAAACCTTAGAAGGTTTTGGTCTGACTGAAACAGCTCAAGGATACTTTCAGAGTAACCAGTTCTTGAGAATGAGCAAAATGCCCCAGGAAAACAAGGAGACATTGTGAGGACAACACATGAATTAGTTTTTCAGCCTGAAGGAAAAGAGAACATGGGCTTGAAAGAGCTTTAGATACTCCAGACTTCCCACCACTTTTTCCTGAACCCTGCTGGAGATGAAGGCAATTACAGCCAGATATTATGGGGAAAAATTTGCTGCTCAGCTTCTGAGTAAGGACCAAGATATCCAGAGGCAACTGAATGTATTAATTGCATATGTCAGGCATTGAAGAACTCTAGAGATAATTGATCACTGAAGTACAATAGGTATTTTGCTGGTTGTAAAATAGGGCAAGGTGAATAATCATTCTAAGGTACATAATCTGAATGAATAATGAGAGAAATACCTGAATGTATTCTTCTATATCAGTTCCTCTCAGGAGCAGATGAAAATCACAGCATTTGGAGAACATGCATTATTCCTGCAACACCTGCTTTTATCTAGGCCTGCCTGTGTGCTGGGAAAAAATGTTCCCAGGAGCCCCAAAGGTGCCAACAATGTAGAAGGCCTCTGTGAAGGCTCAAAACTTTGCTAAGTCTCTCAGGATTTTGCATAGGTCATGTTATGACATGAATAATGAAAAAACAAACAAACAAAAACCCTACACAAACAAACAAACAAACAAACAAAACCAGAAAAACAAAAACAAAAAAAAACAAACCCACACAGATAACAAAAACAAACAAAAAACCCCCACCAGATAACAAAAATGGCAAATGCCTGAGTATTCCCCCAAATCATTCCTCAACAAAGAGCTGACCAGCCCCAATAATGGCAATGCAAGTAATATTTGGGATAAAAGGGGTGCATATCCCTCGAAGTTTTCTTTCAGTGGGTTACAGATGTGGTCCTTCACACCCCAACTATCCTCCAGCTGTTTAATGCCTGCCTTTTAAACCCTGCATTATTGCTGTACATCTCTGCAGTAAACATCCTGATTTTAAAAAGAATTTGTTTACATCTTATTAATAAAATGAATGACACTTCAGAGACAGAAATGGAAAGTTGCCACGAGAGATGTCAATTAAGTCTGAGTCAATCTGGGTAAATTGAAATCTTTATTTTGATTTAATTTAATGCTCTGTGCATATGAGGCACTTTTATTGAACCAAGGAATCTTCATATATAGAGAAATGCCTCACATTGGCCTATTAGCACTAAATTGATTCATAATTAGAGGAAAATGTTGTTCCTCATGATCTCTACTCTAAAAAGGATTCCAAATGCTGTGATGGGGCTTTCATGTAGCACCCTTGGTTTCCTGTAATATTTTCATGGCAGGCAAAGCATGGAAATTTTGCCAAAATGCCATGGAAACCAAAACTGAAAAAGCACATCTGTCTGTATTACTGGGCTTCTGTGAGTCCTGCTTAAACCCAGTGTGTCAAGGTCACTTTCTGCTGTGTGAGAGTGAAGAGAATGTTCAGTGGTTCAGTGGTGAAACTCTGGGATAATGCTTTTTCAATTCTATCAGGGATTTGTTTGCCCTTAGATGATGTGTTGTATTTACAGACATCATAGTTGTAAGCAAGCTTGGCTCTATAAAAAATTGATTTAAGATCCTCGTGTCTTTCTTTGCAGCCACGCTGTTCTGTTGGTGCCATGACTCCTGGGAGTGTTGGACCAGCCAAGAAAGAGACCACCAGTAAGGAGGAGTATTTGTTGTTTTGGCATTCAGCCTCATGTCAGCAGACTGTAACAGCTCTAGTATGATACCACTGCAATAAAAGAGGAGTCACTGACTTTTGAGATGGACATAGCATAACATTTCTTACAATTGCACTGTAAAATGATTCCTTTTCTGAAAGCTTAACTCTAAAGCATGCAAAGAGGAGCAGAAAGGGTAATACCAGAGCAGCCTCCAGGGGAGATGATAACAGTTCAGAGGACAGCCTGGTCAGGGGCGGCAGGGATCATAACTGAGCAGCAAAAGCTCCAGGTAAGTACTCAGGAAAGACAGGAAGGCAGTTTTGGTAAAGACTTGGCAAAGTTAGTGTTAAGTTTTTTGGAGCTGAGGCTGTCACATTATTGAGCACTTTCATTAAAAGCCCTAAGAAAGGCCAACAAGGGCCAGGGTGAGTTTTGCAGGAAAGGAGCCCTGGCAAATAGAATAGATTGTTTTTGCTTTTATTGCTATCCAACAATAACCAGAGATTCTACTCTAAAATCTTCAAGTTTCACACTTACTAGCTTACTAAAAGAATATTTTCCATGCAGGACAGACATAAACCATTCTAGTTTGCCCATAAACTTTAATGTGTCTTAAGCACCTTGTCTGGACTGTGCCCAGTAATTAATGTCAAGAACTGGATTTCTGTGTGAGGAGGTGATCCTCTTGTGAATGACTCTGCTCACTGAAAATCTCATGTCAGGGGGCTTGTGAAAGATTAGTATTTCATCCCTCTACACTTTACTGATTTTGAAGTGCTAGATATTATATGCCAGAAAGGAGGATTTTCAGGAAATAAAGGTTGGGTAAAGAAGATTTAAGTGAAAGGAAAACATCCTCCCTCTGCAAATCCTCATTCATGAGAGAGTAAGATGAAGAAGACTGTAATCATTACCTAGAATGCTTTTAATGCAAAGATTTTTCTAAAGCCTAGAAATACTTTTCTAGGCTTTAGAAATGGCTTTTCTTTTCTTTTTTTTTTCAGTCTTGAAAAATATTGTAAGCTTTCAGCAAGCCTTGAAGAACAGAGACATTTCAAAATGTGTCAGTGTGATTTTTCTCCTCACTTACAGGTACTTTTCAAGTGAAATCTGAAAACAAGAAAATCATTTGGAATCCAGAGGAGGTCCCAGAAGAATCTGAATTTGATGATACCTGGGACCCTAGAGAAAAGCCAGAGTAAGAATGCTGAGACTGCCTGTGTGGGCTTTACATAGCATTAATGTAAATGAGAGCTAAAAAGCATCTACAGCCAGCTGAAAAGATTGTGTCATGCAAGAAAAAAAGGAAAGATATCAGTGTTGCATCTAAAGCAACATGCGAGGAATGGTTTTAACCCCTCTCTTGAAATCTTCTGATCCCAGAACAGAAATTTGTGTTGGTTTTTCCAAAATAAGTTAATGTGCAGTGTCAATAACTTCTATAAAGTGGGATTAGGAGGGGAAGTAGGTCAGAAAAATGATGTATTAACTTTAAAATATGCCATTTGTGTGAAATACCTGCTTTTTCCTGCTGCAACTGAGATGCATCCATTTTTCCATACTCATAAATTCATAAAGTACTCCAATGTATATTTGCATTTCAAAGATTTAAGCTCTTTAGAGACAAATAGTACTGCAGAAGAAAAGCTGTGTGCAGGCAATTCTGAGCTCTTAAATCTTGTCATTCAATCTTAGTCTGTCACAGCACTATTTAAAACCAGAGCCTTTTCTTGCTCATAGAAAAACAGTAGCAAAAATATTCTTGAAATCAGGCATGTAAGGTGGAGTTTGTAGAGGTCAGAAAGCCCTGAGTCCATAAAGTCCATAAAGCAGCTTTTGCATTTCCAAGCATTGTTTCAGTGCCATGTCCTGAAGTGTTAAATGCTGGAGCATATGGACTGTAGCCCATGAAGCTGCACATTGTACACCAGAATCTTCACTTTTTCCTGCATGAGAAGTTCAATTTCCCAGTTAAACACAGGACCTGAGACCTACGTAAACAGGGACTCAGCCTTTCTGAAAATGAGGTTTTCAATTTCCCAGATAGACACAGGACCTGAGACCCACCTGAACGGGGACTCAGCCTTTCTGAAAATGATTTGGAATTCACCCTCACGCACAGTTGTCCTTGGAATGGTCACCTGTCAGGTACAGAACACGCTGTCTTTGTATTGTGGGTACAAAGAAGCTTTTCTCGTGCTGTTCTGTGACCCTTCCCCTCTGCAGTGCTTCTCCAGCCTCAAGCACTTCTGACCCGTTTTGCACAGATGAAGAGAGAATTATAAGTCTACAATAGTTCATCAAATGAAGCAAAGAAAATGTGCTAAAAGGAAAACAGATGGCTACAGAGGTGCAT